TCTATTTTGTATAACATTAGTTTTTGTTTAGTGTTTTTTTTATTCTGATCACAATAAAAATTTCTCATTACTATGAAAAAAAATACGAAACATACAAATTAAATAAAAACATTCTCTTAATTCAATATGTCTAAATAATAATAATTCATTAAACAGAATAATATAACAATTTTGCATCATTTGCATAAGGATAAGGAATTATTTGAAAATAATTTCTGTTGTACGAATACGAGAACGAGTACGCGTAATTACCGTACATTGTCTATAAAGTTTTGTTGTAACATTGAAAAAGTATTGTAAATTTTTTGCATTGCTATTTACTGTTATTCACGATTTAAAAAATTTTTGTTGCATTTACCATATTGAGTGGTGCTCGTGTCGGTTATCTTCATTTCTTGAACTTCGAATTTATTACTACATTTTTGGTTTATCATAATCAAACGTAACTGTAAATAAAGAAATTTAACATCAATCGGACTAGAAGAAAAATTGAACGCCCAAAGAATCCCTACTCAACCGCTAATATATTTTCGAGATGGAGTTTCTGGTGGATGAGAAATATATTTCATAAGGGTTTGCAAGGACCACTTGAAGAGGAAGAGTTATATCAGCACCGTAAAGACTTAGATAGTGAACGAGTAACTACAAAGTTTTCGTAAAAACAAGACGGTGCAATAATCCGTTCGCGTAGTTTAACTGCTGTGTATTTTATTTTAGAAGATTTAGTGTTTCCAGCAGAGATCGTAGGCAAACGTATTCGTGCCAAATTTGATGGCACCCAAATTATAAAGGTGCATTTGGATAAGAATCTACAAACGACCATTGAGCACAAAGTAAGTGTTAAATAACACTTATTTCATTAAATCTTTTTTTGCACTTGTGTTTTTTGCTGTTTAAAATTAGTGGTCCAATGTTTCGTTTACGCTTCATTGCTAAACTGAATTGTAGCTATTATATATTGGTAACATTCATCAAATTTAATGAGTCTAGCAATTAACTTGCAGCAATTAATTCAATATGTCTAAATAATAATAATTCATTAAACAGAATAATATAACAATTTTGCATGATTTGCATAAGGAATTATTTGAAAATAATTTCTGTTGTACGAATACGAGAACGAGTACGCGTAATTATCGTACATTGTCTATAAAGTTTTGTTGTAACATTGAAAAAATATTGTAAATTTTTTGCATTGCTATTTACTGTTATTCACGATTTAAAAAATTTTTGTTGCATTTACCATATTGAGTGGTGCTCGTGTCGGTTATCTTCATTTCTTGAACTTCGAATTTATTACTACATTTTTGGTTTATCATAATCAAACGTAACTGTAAATAAAGAAATTTAACATGAATCGGACTAGAAGAAAAATTGAACGCTCAAAGAATCCCTACTCAACCGCTAATATATTTTCGAGATGGAGTTTCTGGTGGATGAGAAAAATATTTCATAAGGGTTTGCAAGGACCACTTGAAGAGGAAGACTTATATCAGCACCGTAAAGACTTAGATAGTGAACGAGTAACTACAAAGTTTTCGTAAAAACAAGACTGTGCAATAATCCGTTCGCGTAGTTTAACTGCTGTGTATTTTATTTTAGAAGATTTAGTGTTTCCAGCAGAGATCGTAGGCAAACGTATTCGTGCCAAATTGGATGGCACCCAAATTATAAAGGTGCATTTGGATAAGAATCTACAAACGACCATTGAGCACAAAGTAAGTGTTAAATAACACTTATTTCATTAAATCTTTTTTTGCACTTGTGTTTTTTGCTGTTTAAAATTAGTGGTCCAATGTTTCGTTTACGCTTCATTGCTCAAACTGAATTGTAGCTCATTCATATATTGGTAACATTCATCAAATTTAATGAGTCTAGCAATTAACTTGCAGCAATTAATTCAATATGTCTAAATAATAATAATTCATTAAACAGAATAATATAACAATTTTGCATGATTTGCATAAGGAATTATTTGAAAATAATTTCTGTTGTACGAATACGAGAACGAGTACGCATAATTACCGTACATTGTCTATAAAGTTTTGTTGTAACATTGAAAAAATATTGTAAATTTTTTGCATTGCTATTTACTGTTATTCACGATTTAAAAAATTTTTGTTGCATTCACCATATTGAGTGGTGCTCGTGTCGGTTATCTTCATTTCTTGAACTTCGAATTTATTACTACATTTTTGGTTTATCATAACCAAACGTAACTGTAAATAAAGAAATTTAACATGAATCGGACTAGAAGAAAAATTGAACGCCCAAAGAATCCCTACTCAACCGGTAATATATTTTCGAGATGGAGTTTCTGGTGGATGAGAAAAATATTTCATAAGGGTTTGCAAGGACCACTTGAAGAGGAAGAGTTATATCAGCACCGTAAAGACTTAGATAGTGAACGAGTAACTACAAAGTTTTCGTAAAAACAAGACGGTGCAATAATCCGTTCGCGTAGTTTAACTGCTGTGTATTTTATTTTAGAAGATTTAGTGTTTCCAGCAGAGATCGTAGGCAAACGTATTCGTGCCAAATTGGATGGCACCCAAATTATATATAAAGGTGCATTTGGATAAGAATCTACAAACGACCATTGAGCACAAAGTAAGTGTTAAATAACACTTATTTCATTAAATCTTTTTTTGCGCTTGTGTTTTTTGCTGTTTAAAATTAGTGGTCCAATGTTTCGTTTACGCTTCATTGCTCAAACTGAATTGTAGCTTATTCATATATTGGTAACATTCATCAAATTTAATGAGTGTAGCAATTAACTTGCAGCAATTAATTCAATATGTCTAAATAATAATAATTCATTAAACAGAATAATATAACAATTTTGCATGATTTTGCATAAGGAATTATTTGAAAATAATTTCTGTTGTACGAATACGAGAACGAGTACGCGTAATTACCGTACATTGTCTATAAAGTTTTGTTGTAACATTGAAAAAATATTTGTAAATTTTTTGCATTGCTATTTACTGTTATTCACGATTTAAAAAATTTTTGTTGCATTTACCATATTGAGTGGTGCTCGTGTCGGTTATCTTCATTTCTTGAACTTCGAATTTATTACTACATTTTTGGTTTATCATAATCAAACGTAACTGTAAATAAAGAAATTTAACATGAATCGGACTAGAAGAAAAATTGAACGCCCAAAGAATCCCTACTCAACCGCTAATATATTTTCGAGATGGAGTTTCTGGTGGATGAAAAAAATATTTCATAAGGGTTTGCAAGGACCACTTGAAGAGGAAGACTTATATCAGCACCGTAAAGACTTAGATAGTGAACGAGTAACTACAAAGTTTTCGTAAAAACAAGACTGTGCAATAATCCGTTCGCGTAGTTTAACTGCTGTGTATTTTATTTTAGAAGATTTAGTGTTTCCAGCAGAGATCGTAGGCAAACGTATTCGTGCCAAATTGGATGGCACCCAAATTATATATAAAGGTGCATTTGGATAAGAATCTACAAACGACCATTGAGCACAAAGTAAGTGTTAAATAACACTTATTTCATTAAATCTTTTTTTGCGCTTGTGTTTTTTGCTGTTTAAAATTAGTGGTCCAATGTTTCGTTTACGCTTCATTGCTCAAACTGAATTGTAGCTTATTCATATATTGGTAACATTCATCAAATTTAATGAGTGTAGCAATTAACTTGCAGCAATTAATTCAATATGTCTTAATAATAATAATTCATTAAACAGAATAATATAACAATTTTGCATGATTTGCATAAGGATAAGGAATTATTTGAAAATAATTTCTGTTGTACGAATACGAGAACGAGTACGCATAATTACCGTACATTGTCTATAAAGTTTTGTTGTAACATTGAAAAAATATTGTAAATTTTTTGCATTGTTATTTACTGTTATTCACGATTTAAGAAATTTTTGTTGCATTTACCATATTTGAGTGGTGCTCGTGTCGGTTATCTTCATTTCTTGAACTTCGAATTTATTACTACATTTTTGGTTTATCATAATCAAACGTAACTGTAAATAAAGAAATTTAACATCAATCGGACTAGAAGAAAAATTGAACGCCCAAAGAATCCCTACTCAACCGCTAATATATTTTCGAGATGGAGTTTCTGGTGGATGAGAAATATATTTCATAAGGGTTTGCAAGGACCACTTGAAGAGGAAGAGTTATATCAGCACCGTAAAGACTTAGATAGTGAACGAGTAACTACAAAGTTTTCGTAAAAACAAGACGGTGCAATAATCCGTTCGCGTAGTTTAACTGCTGTGTATTTTATTTTAGAAGATTTAGTGTTTTCAGCAGAGATCGTAGGCAAACGTATTCGTGCCAAATTGGATGGCACCCAAATTATATATAAAGGTGCATTTGGATAAGAATCTACAAACGACCATTGAGCACAAAGTAAGTGTTAAATAACACTTATTTCATTAAATCTTTTTTTGCACTTGTGTTTTTTGCTGTTTAAAATTAGTGGTCCAATGTTTCGTTTACGCTTCATTGCTCAAACTGAATTGTAGCTCATTCATATATTGGTAACATTCATCAAATTTAATGAGTCTAGCAATTAACTTGCAGCAATTAATTCAATATGACTAAATAATAATAATTCATTAAACAGAATAATATAACAATTTTGCATGATTTGCATAAGGAATTATTTGAAAATAATTTCTGTTGTACGAATACGAGAACGAGTACGCTTAATTATCGTACATTGTCTATAAAGTTTTGTTGTAACATTGAAAAAGTGTTGTAAATTTTTTGCATTGCTATTTACTGCTATTCACGATTTAAAAAATTTTTGTTGCATTTACCATATTGAGTGGTGCTCGTGTCGGTTATCTTCATTTCTTGAACTTCGAATTTATTAC